CTTTGTCAAACTAGGTTTTTCAAAAAAATGCGTGTCATGAGAAAATTGCGTCGCACACGCTTTCGCCTAAATCTCGAACGCAGTGCGGCATTCAAGCGCCTGACGGCTCGATTTCGCAGATTCGAAAAGATTTCAATGGAATTCGCAATTAAATAAAACATATTTTTCCAAAATGATTTTTTCAAAAACATGCGTATCATTTGCGTGCCGCCGTGTTCCCGGAGAGCTCAGGAGTTGCTATCGACCACTGCCGATGATAAAAAACTGCCGACGATAATAAACCTCAAGAGGTTGTGCTGAGGGGTTGTGCTGCAGGGTTGTGCTGCAGGGTTGTGCTGGAGGGTTGTGCTGGAGGGTTGTGCTGGAGGGTTGTGCTGGAGGGTTGTGCTGGAGGGTTGTGCTGGAGGGTTGTGCTTGGGGGGTTGTGCTGAGAGAGAGAGAGAGAGAAGGAAAAAAACGAAAATAAAAAGAAATATAGTCTTTTAAATAAGAAAGATATAACACATCTCGCAGAAAAAACTCTTATAATAAAGAAGAATAATAATAAGAAGAATAATAAGAATAAGAGAATATATATAGAAAGAAAGACAGATAGAGAAGGAGGAGGAAAAGCAAACATTTCAAGTTTCAAATCCATCAGATTTTATTTAGAAACGCTTGATGAACATTGAGAAAGAGAGAGAGAGAGAGAGAGAGAGAAGAAGAGGAGATAATGAAAAGCAAGAGAGGAAGGAGAGGAGGAGAGGAAAGGGGAAGACAGGAGAGGAGCAAGAGGAGAGAGAGATAGAGAAACAGAGAGAGAAAAAAGACAGAGAGGAAATAATAATAAAAAACCTATCAGATTTTCCATGGATAATCAACCCCAGGGATAAACAAGTTCAGGGGGGCATGGGGGGGAGAGAGACAGAGAGATAGAAAGAGAGAGAGAGAGAGAGAAAAAAAAAAAGAAGAAATAATGAAAATGAAGAGGAGAAGGAAAATTCAAGAGGAGAAGTAGAAGAGGAGAAGAAGAGGAAAAGCAAACATTTCAAGTTCCAAATCTATTATATTTTATTTACAAGCGCTTTATGTTTTTTTTTTTTATAACAAAAAAAAGTGCTCGTGTAGGAGCTCATGTGCCTCACTTTCCGTGGATAATCAACCCCTGGGATACAACAAGTTCAGGGGCGCATGGGGAGAGAGAAAGATATAAAGAGAGAAATACAGAAAACAAAGAGAGAGTTGAGGGAAATACATAAAAGAAATACTTAAAAGGAAAAGGACAAGAAGAAATGAGGAGGAGAAGTAGAAGAGGAGAGGAAAGGAGGATAAAACAAAAAATCTGAAGTTTCAAATGCATTGCATTTTTTAAATTTACAAGCTCTTTATGAAAATTAAAGATTTTAAGTGCTCGTGTAGGGTAGCTCATGTGCCTCACTTTCCGTGGATAATCAACCCCAGGGATAAACAAGTTCAGGGGGGCATGGGGAGAGAGAGGAAAAAAAGAAAGAAATAAAGAAATATATAAAGAATAAAAATATAAATTACGAAAAAAGAAGCAGAATAGAAGAGGAAGAATCAGAGCAACAATTTCAAGTTCTAAATCTATGAGATTTAGTTTACTAACGCTTTCTGAAAATCATTTTTTTGAGTGCTCGTGTAGGGTAGCTCATGTGCCTCACTTGCCATGGATAATCAACACCAGGGATAAACAAGTTCAGGGGGGCATGTGGAGAGAGAGAGGAAAGAAAGAAATAAAGAACTATATAAAGAAATAAAAATACAAATTAAGAAAAAAGAAGGAGAAGAGAAGAGGAAGAAAAAGAGCAATCCTCGAGTATATGCCTGTTTCGCTTGAGATATCCTGGACAAGCTTCTCGAATCGCTTGAGACATCCTCGCGGAATTGCTGGTTTCGCTTGAGACATCCTTGAAACATTGCTCGTTTCGTTTGAGCCTGCCTCCCAACATTCTTGGTTTCGCTTGAGACATCCTCACAGAATTGTTGTTTTCGCATGGGACATCCTTAAGAAACGTATCGTTTCGCTTGAGACATCCTTCAGTATATGCTTGTTTCGCTTGAGACATCCTCGAGTATATGCTTGTTTCGCTTGAGACATCCTCGACAAGCTTCTCGAATCGCTCGAGATATCCTCGAGTATACGCTTGTTTCGCTTGAGACATCCTCGACAAGCTTCTCGAATCGCTTGAGACATCCTCACAGAATTACTGGTTTGGCTTGAGACATCCTTGAAACATTGCTCGTTTCGTTTGAGCCTGCCTCCCAAAATTCTTGGTTTCGCTTGAGACATCCTGAAAAAAGTGTGATCGCTTCGCTTGATGTTGCTATTTCAACATAACTTGATCTTGCTGTCTCAACATAACGTTCCGAGGTGATAATGAAGTTTGGCCTCCGCGCCCCGCGCCCCCGACCAAACTCTTATTGGTCGACGATAAAAAACTCTAACGACTTAAGGGGGGGGTACATTATTATCGTGGGCATGGGGTTACAGATCACATCCGCTCGTCGTTGTCATTGCATCCCGCTGATTGAAGTTCCCCCAGCTTTCTCCTCTAACCCTCTCCTCCTGACCGTCCGCTTCGGCTCTCTCTGGCCCGTCGGCCCGGCGCGCGCCCGAGGAGGGCGGGGGGGAGAACGATCAAAACATCAGCCTGCCGAAAGACCCCACCTTGTGCAGCTGCGAGAACCGCGAGGGAGATGACACGAATGAAGAGGGAACGCAAACCCCGAATAGCGCACGCGGTATACCCTCTGCTCTCATGGGCAGCGCGCCACAGGAACAACGAGTCGCGGGGCAGTGCAGGCAGGGGGCGGAGGCGAATGGGTGGGATACATGCGAACTTTCGGTGGAGCTCCCCATGGGCCACGAAGAGTGTGAAGGGTGTGCCGAACAAAATGGGCGGGGGGGGGGGCGCATGCGAACGTCGCCGTCGGGGCCGTCGGTGGAGCTCCCTATGGGGCCACGAACCGTGTGAGGGGTGTGCCGGCATGTGTCGGTCGGGCGCATGCGAACGTCGCCATTGGGGCCGGTGGAGCTCCTCATAGGGCCGCGAACCGTATGAGGGGTGCGCCGAAATTGGTGTGGCAGACGCATGTGGCCGCCCCCGCCAGGGCATCAGGTGGAGCTCCCTGTATGGGGCAACGAACAGTATAACGGGTGCGCCGAAATTGGTGGCGCGGACGCATGGGAACGTCGCCACTGGAGCCTTAGGTGGAGCTCCCGATGGGGCCACGAACCGTGTGAAGGGTGTGCCGAACGAAATGGGCGGGGGGGGGGGGTGCATGCGAACGTCGCCGTTGGGGCCGTCGGTGGAACTCCCTATCGGGATACGAGACGTGTGAAGGGTGTGCCGGCATGTGTCGGTCGGGCGCATGCGAACGTCGCCATTGGGGCCGGTGGAGCTCCTCATAGGGCCGCGAACCGTGTGAGGGGTGCGCCGAAATTGGTGTGGCAGACGCATGTGGTCGCGCCCGCCAAGGCATCAGGTGGAGCTCCCTATAAGGCAACAAACCGTGTGAGGGGTGCGCCGAAATGGGTGGCGCGGACGCATGGGAACGTCGCCGCTGGAGCCTTAGGTGGACCTCCCAATGGGGCCACGAACCGTGTACGGGGTGTGCCAAAAATGGGTGACGCCGACGCATGGGAACGTCGCCGCCGTGGGTTTGGGTGGAGTTCCCTATGGGACCACGAACCGTGTGAGGCGTGGCGCGGACGCATGGGAACGTCGCCACTGGAGCCTTAGGTGAAGCTCCCTATGGGGCCACGAACCGTGTGCGGGGTGCGCCAAAATGAGTCGCGGAAGCATGAGAACGTCGCCACTGGAGCCTCAGGTGGAATTCTGTATAAGGCCACGAAACGTATGAAGGGTGTGCCAAAAAGGGGCGGCGCCGCCATGCGAACTGTGTTACTGGGGTCTTCGATGGTGATGATGACGGCAATGGTGTTGATGATGATGATTATGGCGACGACGACGTCGACGATGATGACTAGGATGCTGATGACGATGATGATGATGATGATGATGATGATGATGATGATAGTGATGATGATAATAATGATACTGATGATGATGATGATGATGATGATGATGATGATGATGATGGAAGGAGGAGGGAGGGTGGGCGGAAGAGAAGAAGAGGAACGCGGGGTGCTGTCCCGTCAAAACGAAGACCCAATAGCACAGGACGGTTGGGAAAAAGTTTATCGTCCCAGGGCTGGCTTTCTAAACATCATCCTCGGGCGCCGCCGCGAGTACACGACCCCAAGTCATTTCTGAATCATCATCCTGCATCACCTTGCACAACACTGCTTGCACAACGTTGGTCGCATCCAATACACTTTGCCACATGTATTGTACCACACACGCTGCACTTCATACATTGCATCGCAATGTTTTGCGCCATAGAGATTTCAACACATCCGTTGCACCATGCACAGATTGCACCACACGGAGCGAGCATCGAGAGTGCAACTAACTGCTGCTTGGGGGCCGGGCAGGCAGATATCAAAGGATTTTAGGGTCCTGCAGCACCCCGGGGTCTGACGAGCGCAGCATCGAGTCGCGCTCGTTGCCCGAGCCTGGAGCCAAAGCTCGCCCCAAGTCACCGTGCACAGAACACTGAATTCCATTCTTTGTTTGGAGATTGCGCCCGGGCCGAAACTACCCTGGGATCACGTGCGATAGTTCGCTCTCTGGCGCCTGGACACTAACCTTAAGTCGGGCGCGTCCCCCTACAAGGGGATTTTCGACGACAAATAAAAATACCCCACAAATGCTCCAAAATTCTCAAAAAAATTACAACAAATAGTCCCCAGACTATTTTTTGACTATTTTCGAATATTCCTCCTGTGGACAGGCCCGGCTTACCACTAGCCGCAGGCACGCGAACAGCAACGACAATATCTGAAGCCGCCAGCCGTGGCCTTACCTCTGCCTGCAAGGCGACTGCACCGTGTGTGTGTGTGTGAATTGCCTCTGGATGCTCGCTCGGAGTCAATGCCGGCACCTTTCGTGACAACCCGATCACGGCCGCGTCTGCGCAACAAAGCGAAGAGGGGGGAGGGGGAGGAGAAGCAGAAGGGAGCAGTGAGGAGGGAGGAGGAGGGAGAAGGGAGGAGAAGGAAGGAAGCAGGAAGACAAAGAGGAACTCGCTGTGGAACTGCGCCAGGCGTGCCGCCAACAGAACCTGCGGCTGGCGCTGCGGGGAGCCTCCCGTCCTCGACTTCAGTACCTCCAAATTCTCCGACTCCTCCTCACTACTCTTCCTTCTCGTCCTCCCTTCTCCCTCCTTGTCTTCCTCGTGTTCCTCGTCCTCAACCTTGTCCTTTTCCTCCCCATCACCCTCGTTCTCCTCCCCGTCCTCGTCCACGTCCTGGTCTCCCCCCCGCTCCTTCGCAACGCACCCCGCTCCTCCGTACTCGCACCCCTCGTCATCGTCGTTCCCAATCCCCACCGCCTCCACCTCCTCCGCATCCTCCTCCACATCCTCCTCCGCATTCACCTCATCCTCCTCCACATCCTCATCCGCCTTCACCTCCTCCTCATCCTCCACATCCTCCTCCTCATCCTCCTCCACATCCTCCTCATCATCACTATCATCACCATTACGGCCACAATCCTCGCCAGGATCTCCCTGCACCTCGGGCTCAACTTCTTCTCGTGCAGGGCCCCCTCCTCCTGGTCCTAGTCCTCCCTCGCTTCATCCTCATCTTCGTCCATCGCATCATCCGACCCTTTCGCCTCCTCTGCACCCTCTAAATGTGTCCCCTCCACCTCCGCCTCGTCCTCCTCCTCGCTCCTCGTCCTCGTCCTTGTCCCTGGTCTCGTGTTCCCGCTGCCTTGGGGTGATTTGGGGCTGCCCGCCTCGGGGCTTTCCACACGGCCTCCTTCGCCGTGCGCAGGCCATCTGAGGCGGCGCGGTGCTGCCAAGCCTCTTGGGGGCCTCTTGGGGGTCCTGGAGACATTCGGGGGGCGTCTCCGGACCCGGTGTCGGAAGAGTTTTTGGGACAGCCTTGGGGCCGTATTGGGGTCAGTCTTGGGCCGTCCTGTTACCACCTTGGGCCTTCGGAAGTTTCTGGAAGCCACAGGGGGTGCCCAGAAGCTCAAAAAATTGAAAGGGTACAAGTTTTCCGGACGAAAGACCCGACCATTGCAGTTCTGAGCACCGCGTTGTGGCTACCGCTTCTGATGGACTTCCCTATGGGGCGCATGCGGTCGCGACCACTGAGGCTTTCGATGAAGCTCCCTATGAGGCCACGAAGCGCTGCACTGGGTGAGGGAGACGCATGTGGCCGCGGCGGCCGCGGCCGCGGCCACTGGGGCCTTCGGTGAAGCTCCCTGTGGGGCCACGAAGCGCTGTACTGGGTGCGGGGAACGCATGCGAACGTCGCCTCTGGGGCCTTCGGTGGAGCTCCCTATGGGGCGACGAAGCGCTGTACTGGACCCGGGGAACGCATGCGAACGCCGCCTGTGGGGACTTTGGTGGAGCTCCCTACGGGACCACGAAAGGCTGTACTGGGTGCAGGGGACGCATGCGAACGTCGCCTGTGGGGCAACGAAGCGACGAATGCGAATGTCGCCTCTGGGGCCTTCGGTGGAGCTCCCTACGAAGCCAGGAAATGCTGGTGCGGGAAGCGCATGCGAACGTCGCCGGTGGGGCCTCGGTGGAACTCCCTGTTGGGCCACAACGCTACATTGTGTGCGGGGGACGCGGACGAACGTGGCCTATGGGGCCTTCCGCGGGGTCCCCTTATGGGGCCGAGATGCGTCGTACTGGGTGCTTTTCTTCCTCCTCCTCCTCCTCCTCCTCCTCCTCCTCCTCCTCCTCCTCCTCCTCTTCTTCTTAGTATTATTATTACTGTGAGTATTATTTCTCTTCTTATTCTTATTCTTAGTATTACTACTATTATTAGTATTAATATTATTATTATGCGTATTCGTCCGATTATTATTCTTCCTCCTCGTCCTCCTCGTCCTCCTCCTCCTCCCCCACTCCTCCTCCTCCTCCTCCTCCTCCTCCTCCTCCCCTCCTCCTCCTCCTCCTCTCCTCCTCCTCTCCTCCTGCTCCTGCTCCTCCTCCTCCTGCTGCTGCTCCTCTCTCTTCCCTCTTCCTCCTGCTCCTCCTCCTCTTCCTCCTCTTCCTCCTGCTCCTGCTCCTGCTCTCTCCTCCTCCTCCTGCTGCTCGTCCTCCTCCTGCTCCTCCTCGCCCTCCTCCTCCTCCTCCTCCACCTCCTCCTCCTCTTCCTCCTCCTGCTCCTCCTCCTCGTCCTCCTCCTCCTCCTCCTCCTCCTCCTCCTCCTCCTCCTCCTCTCCTCCCCCCCCTCCTCCTTCTCCTCCTCCTTTTCCGCCTCCTCCTCATCCTCCTCATTCTCCTCCTCCTCTCCCTTCGCTTCTCCTTCCCAGGATTGGTCCCAGTCGGTTGTGAAGTTGGAGTTAGTAATCCAGGATGCGGTTCGAGCCCCCCCCCTTGCATCTCAGGGCCCCCACAGTCCCCCCGGTTCGACACCCCCTCTTCCCAGCGTCCACAGAACGCGCATGTTTTAACGTCGCCTCTGGAGCTGTCGGTGGAGTTCCCTATGGGGTCACGAAGCAATGTAGTGGGTACGGAGGACGCATTCGAACGTCGCCTCTAGAGCCTTCTGTAGAGCTCCCTCTGGGCACGAAACGCGTCAGAGTGTGCCGAAATGGTTGAAATGCGGTGGTCAGCGGGGAGAAGGGCGGGAGGTGAGGAACGCAGGGCGCTGTCTCTTCGAAACGAGGACTCAACACCACAGGATGCTTGGGTTAAACCTCGACCCTCGACCCACGACCCCCCGCCGAAAAAAATGTGGGCGAACCGGCAACATACAAATAGACCTCTCGTTGCTAGCACACGGCACGGATTTCATAATTCCCTCTTTCCCCACCTCCCCAGGTCTGTTCACCCAGACCCGGAGGCCCCAGAGGGCCCCCAAAAATCCAGACGTCCGAAAAACAACATCGATCCTCCTCGAAGCCCATGGCGGCACGGGGATGTGGTGGGGACTTCCCATGCGCCCCTCCGCCTCCCAAGAGCAACGGTGGCACACGTAACACCGCAAGTGGGAATTACCCTGGCGAAGAAGCCACCAATTCTGTATGTGGTGCCGCGGGAAATGTGAGGGGTGCGCCGGCGTGGGCGCGAGCCACCATGCGGACGCAGCCACTTGGGCCTTGGGTGAAGTTCCCTTTGGGGCCACGAAGCGTGTGAGGTGTATTTGTGTGTATGTGTGTGTGTGCCGGCATTGGCCCGAGTCACCGTGCGGACGCAATCACTGGTGCCTTGGGTGGGGTTCCCTATGGGGCCACGGAACGTGTGAGGGGCGTGCCGACATGGACCCGAGTCGCAACGCGGACGCAACCACTGAAGTCTCGGTGGGGTTCCCTATGGGGCTTCGAAACATGCGAGGGGAGTGGAGAAACGATGATACGAATGATGATGGCGGTGATGGGTACGAAGGCGCTGATTCTGACGACGACGGCGATGATGACGACGATGAAGATGATGATCATGACAAGGATGAGGAAGAGCCGGAGTCGGAGCCAGAAGCCTTGTCAACTGGTGACTCCTCTACCCTTATTGGGACAAGAGGTTTGTGTCGCATGTGTTTACAAGTTCGAAGCTGGCGGCACTATCGGCACCGCAAGGGTCAGCTTACGGGACCCTGGCTTTGTCAGCCATATGGGCCCACTGGGGCTCGGCGCCGAGACCCAAGTACAACAAAACTGGTATGCAACGGCTGAGGACTATGGCACTGTAGCCCATCATGGCCTGCCGAGCTTTGCCGTCTACTTGCAGTCAGACAGAGCCCTTCCCTTTCCCACTCCAAGTCACCCCCCCCTTCCCCACGGCGCTGCGCTTGGCCTCAGGCTGCAGCATGTGCTGCTTTTCCTGAAGCGGCAGCTCGCAGTGCGTCTTGCGCACCAGTGGCGGACGAGAGAACGAATTGAGACTCTGATGCTCACCTCTGGGGCCAAGACCTCCCCACTGCTCGGCACGCCTTCAAGTCCGCTCCTCCCAAGGCTTCCAGAAAGCAGCCCCGGCCAAACTCCTGGGGTCCTGGGCGATCTGCGATCCAGCACGGGGGGCGACGAGCACGGCGGGCGAATGCCCAAGGCAAGAGCCTACCTATACGAGACCCCATGCCTGGCTCAAATTGCCGCACTCGGACGCTGCGCGGAGCACTCCAGTGTCCTTGTCCGCCTGGCCTTGGGGCCAGGAAAGCGGCAGCATCAAATGATACAACAGACAAATCACCTGAACCTTTACACACGTAGTGTCGCTGCGACTAGTCCAGCCATTGGTTCGACCCAGTCAAACTAGTAAGTCGTGGGCGCTTGCGCTGCCGCGTCTAGCCATCTGTCGGAGTCCGTTCACATTCACTGGTCCGTTGCCTGCCTCGCTCGCAGTCCCGCCTGCAGCTGCCTCTCGAGCGCCGACGGGGGTGGGGTTCCGTAGATCTGCTCCGCCCTCAACTGACGCATGGCCTTGCACGTTGCCACTCTCAGCTCCTGCACCGTGTAGTGTCCGAGCGCGATCGGCGGGTCCGCGCTGCCCTCTCTGATCGCGTTGACCTGCTCCTCCCATGCCTTCGTCCACGGCGTGCTGCAGCAACTCGATCAGCAGGCCGAACTCGAACATGATATTCTTCGTCTCGCCCTCGAGGTTTTCTTGCTTCCCCGTCGCCAGAACATACCCCACTCACACGTGCATTGGTAATCCCATCTGCTTGCTGCCCTTTGTCGTCACCTTGTCCGCGTGGGTGACTCCTCCTGCCGCGGCCGCCTCTACCGTTTCGGTCTCGCCTTCTGGCAGGAAAAAATCCCACGCGCTGCCTGACACCATGCGCCTATCTGTACCGTGTTCAGCATGATCTTCTGCATGAGTATCGTCTCCTCTGCCGTGGCGCCCTCTCCTGGGCCACGCGAGTTGCCAGCTCCGCTCGTCGTGGCGACACGCTGGTGTTTTGGCGCGGGTGCTGCCGCTGCCGACGCACCACTCCATCGTCCCGTTGCGTGGGTTGGCGCCGTGAGCGGCTCGTGCCCCCGCCCTCCACGACATCGCTCGGTCCTGGGGCGTGGGTAGGTACGTGTATCACATGCTGATTAAGCTCACTGTCCTCGCGGCCGCAGACGTTGCAACGGAAAGAACCGTCTATTCTGGCTTGG